TTTTTACAATTTTTCTTGTTTCATGTTCAACATTTTTGGCCGTAAATCGAGTCCCAATTCGTGCATCTTTCTTTTTCAGCTGTGATAATATTCATATGAACACGATAAAGTGGAATTTCATCATGTATTTTGTCTTGCATATACTTAAATCTTATTAATGCCTTGATAACCTTTTCTAATGTAAATATTTGTCTTGCTTTCTGATAACCCATATGAGTATTAGAAGCTTAGATGCCGCTTTCTTAACACATACTCATCCTAACAAAAAAATCTTCATGCGCCGGCTACCAACTATTTATTAGTGAGGATGTATGTAATGACACTAGTTAATCTCAACCAAAATCTAATAAACTTCATAACACTTGCATATACAAAAGCTTGGCTTAATGAATTATTGGTACTAAGGAATGTCGCTCATGTACTCATGATCCTCACTTTCACATACCTTAAAATGATACGTGTCTGCATGCATCATCCCTCGGTCTTGCTTTCCTATTTTTGGGTCGACTTAACTCTCACCATAATTAACCCAAACACGCAGATTATATCAGATTAGATTAGGATTATATTGATGGTCAGTAGTTAGGGCTTTTTCCCCGTGTTGGCCCCCACTTCTCTGTCCCGGCAGCCACCAAACATGAACCCTTATTTCTGGTGTCTAATGGAGCCTCTCTCTCTCTCTCTCTCTCTCTCTCTCTCTCTCTCTCTCTCTCTCTCTCTCTCTCTCTCTCTCTCTCTCTCTCTCTCTCTCTCTCTCTCTCTCTCCTTTGTGAGATTCCTTTGAGAAATGACACCATACTGCCTCCATGCACTGCCGACCTAATGCAAAACAAAGTGTCTCACCTTCCATGCAATTTAAGAACATGACAGAGATCATCTGATTTTTTTTTCGTATCTTTAGTTTTTTGTGCAACCGCAAGAAATGATGGTTGGCTCTTCATAGTGGGGCTTATTATAAGGTGAAATGAAGCTTGAAACGCTAGAACACATTAGAAAATTATGAGGGGCTGGCCTGCAATGGGAGAGTACAGAGAGACCACCCTGAAAAATCACTAGTACTCAAGGTATATAACTTTTTTTTATTTTTTCTTTAGGGCTGACATGTGTCGTACAATGATGCTGTGCACGATGAAAAATTGGGTAAAAATGACCGTGGATCTCAATGCCAACGATGGAGGAGCATGGCCTAATTTTATTGAAAAAAGATTGACAAATTGATCACAAAAGATTAGCTGAGGGGTCAAGCGCTTGACGTGAGTGCACCAAGTCCCATCAAACTCCAATACTTCTCACTCGGACTAACCTTGAGGTTCTTGCCCGCAATCTTGCAGACGGAGTCTTATCTAATGTGAAGGAAAAAGTATTTTGCATGGATCGGAAAGTAGCCGGGCCAAAAGTTTGGATATCTAATGTTATAAGAAAATAGTGATTGGACATACATGCTGTGCCGGCCATTGGGAAAGGACAAAGATTTAGAGTCTAGGTCTTTGGAATGATTATAAGATTATATATCCTAATAATACATTAAGAACAGTAGAGTTTCTTCTTTTATAAGGACCACTCTTTATCTTTCCTTCTTAACATATCCCCTATCAAATTACCATAGAGAAATTATAAGCGTGAAACACAGACAGGAGTATATCAAATAGTTTTATTCACTTTTCTATTTTTACCGCTCCATTTCCTCCTGAATTCAGTTCTTATGTAATCCGCCGTATTATTAATTTTCTAATGCTTAAATAATTAGAATATGTACAGGAGTCTAATTCTTTTATTGCAACAGTTCTGACGATATTAGTTTATGTAAGGAAGTGCATTTATTTCATCAGAAAAAGCACGACACATATTCCAATAATTAGTTCTAGGCCAGGACGATCATACAACGAAAACGAAACCTAATGCTATTTTTCTTGGGGAATGAAAAACATTTATTTCCTGTAACCCATGATTAATTTGTGATTAATCTAGACTGTCGGTTGTGCTTTCTTAGCTTTTCTATGGTTTATCTATTGATTTCCTTTGGTCCTTTTCTCCTGGATAAACATTAAATACTCGGGCTTTGCTGATATGGGTAGTTTTATTTCTAACAAGTGACTAGATACTCGGATCGATGGTGATGGATGCAAGATGTGTAGATCAAAGTCACGCAAACTTTGTACCGAAACTTTAATCTTTTCTTTTTTCGGTATGGGCACCTCCACGCTGAGAGTGTCTTCAATTTGTTCTTGGTTTTCACTTAAATTCGCATTTGGCAATTATGGCTTTTCAAAATCGCTCTTTTGTGACATTTACTCAAATAAATGTAGATATAGTACAGATGAAAAAAAAATTGTTGCGCTCTCATGGTAAAGAGTAATAACTATGGCGCTTTTCTCACTGTTATTTTCTTTAAATAAAGATATGGAAGGCACTATGAAGTGCTCAACCATTTACTCCAAAAAAATTAAGTTTTTAGTAGGGGCAAAAGGTTACAGTGCAGGTAGATTCAAAACCTAGAACCTAAAATCTATCCTATCGGGATCAATTTCCAAATTTTTAGAACCTAGAACCTACGCTGGAACCGACCCTGTCGGTCTGGTCCAGTTCCAGATCTATCCGGGAATTGGCCAATTCCCCTTTTTTTCTTTTTTTTAATTTCCTAAAAGGACAAACTTTAGTAAAACATCTCCTTATTAACAATCAAGATAAATAGCAGTTATAATAAAATAATAGAGTAACAAAACAACAAGAAGTACAGTATAAAATAAACCGAAATATAAAGTTCAAGCAAAATAAAAGTTAAAGCAACAACAAAAATTCTCATTCGCCAAAAGCAACAATCCATGAAAATTAAAAAATTAAGGCATATTCAACTATGTTATTGTGGATCGTTTACGGTTGAAAGAATTGAATTCTTTGAAGGAGGTGGAGATCAAAGAATCCACGTCCCCGAAAAGTTTGTCTAATGTGCCAACATTGACCGAGTTGAATACCGATTGGATGCCGCCAAAAGCTTCGGAGCACACCATTTAGTTGAGGAAGCAATTGCGACTCTCGGTGTTGTAGAAAAAATAAGCATCATCCCGAAAGTGCAAGAACTTCCGCTAGACGAGTACGAAAGGTGTGCAAATTAGAGGTGAGCAATTCCAGAGTGGATAAGTTTCGGGTTTTGGGATGGATAGGTTACAGATCTAGAACTTGGAACCTAAAACCTAACCTGTGAAAATCAGTTACCAATATTTGGAATGGAACCTAAACCTGTAGATTTGGAACCGGACTTGAACCAACTAATTAGGTTGATCCGGTCCGGTTCTAGGGTATGCCCTGGACTAGTGCCCAACCTTAATTTTTAGACTATAATCCGCAATATATTTATAGCTTAACCTTCCACATCACCCAAATGTTTTTTTTTTTTGGTGTAAAATGTAAGTAGTATATAACAGATGATGTACAGCAGCTTAGGGGCATTCCCCGGCATTACAACTAGTACTAATAATTCGAGAATATGGAGGTAGGAAGTCTCCATAAAGTAGCTAAAACAAAGTTAGCTTGCGAAGGTTTGATTTTTTTGTATAGTGAAGCTCTACCTCTTACATTTTTCCGCACCTTCGCCAAAATAATCTGAATGTCAGTTGGATTGTTTTGAAACCGCCTATGGTTGCGCTCCATCCAAGTGCAATATACAGTCGCTAGGAAAGATACTTTGAGGAGTTTTGCTGCCAAATCTTTGCCTCTTGTTGCTCTAACCATCCATTGAAGCTCCTCATTCCATCCCCATACATTACGCCTAATCCCATGTTGCGCAAGAATATTGCGCCAGATGCTACCTGTCCATTCGCATTGGAAGAAAAGGTGAGTCGTGTTCTCTATACTTGCCCTACAGAAGGTACATTGAACATCGACTGAAGTCATCCACCGTGATATGATCTCTGCTGTCGGAAGCCTATCCCTACATACTAGCCAACCAATAAAATTGTGTTTGCTAACGCCGCTACTCCATATTAAGTTATACCACTCCACCGTGAGTCGTGTTCTCACCCAAATGTTGATTGATGATAAAGGCCTTAAACGTAAGAAACCAGATGTGTGTGGGTAAAACTTTTTTTTAAGCCCATCATGCGTGATGAAGAGAAAATCCATAAGTAGAAGAAGGGGGGTGTGAGGACTTTAAATCAAGAGCTTTTACTCTAATATCAACTTAAATTGATTGAGCAATCGATTATTTTGAAAGTTTAAGCTATTAGAATGCAAAGTCTAATATAATTTATATCTTAACAAAAATTCAGTTGAACCAACTTTTTGCTTCTTACATACATCGAATTCTAAGTGACTTTTTAAAAGAGATAACGGGTATTTAGACATATCAACTCGACTAGCTTTATGGATATATGCAATCGCCCACTTCACGTGCAACAGGCAAGAAGGCTCCACTCATGAAATGGCACAGGCAACCTCCTAGATCACTCTGCTTTGGAGAGATTCTTGGATATGAATTATAAAACCAAAACAAGGTGCTTAATCCCATTCAATCCGGTGGGAGCTTTTCTACAATCACTTTCGATGATATAACAGAGATGGAACAAAAGAAACAAAAGTAAGAGGATTCCACATATATTGACAAAGGGGCAATTGTGTCCTTTCCCACGTGCCTTTCTTGCCCATCACCCATCCCCTGGAAAGACATCAAAAGATCGAAGGCATGTGAGATAAGAGAGAATGACAAAATTTAGAGAGAAGGGCGTACGTGTATTATTAAGAGTTTGGTCTGTATTTGTCCATGCAAGAGAGCTCACTGTGTATGATTTGATATTTCTTTTAATGTATTTTCCTGGTTTTTGTGTTTGTGTGTGTGTAATGTTTTGTTTGTTTGTTTTCTTGTGAGGATGTCTTTTTTTTTTCCTGTCCATTCTGTGTGGCCCCATCTTTTTTTTTTTCTGGTGGTGGGATCATTCTTTCCCATCAATTTGATTGGGTCTCTCACCCTCCCTCCCCCTCTATCTCTATATCTAAAGAGGAGGAGCTTTTAAAGAGACTCCACAACCATACCTGATGAAGAAGAAGAAGAGCTCAAGAGAGAGAGCAAGGAAGAAAAAGATCATTTTGAAAAGCCTGAAAGCTGTTTAAAGCTCAAAAAGAAAGCTGTTGCGATAACCGAAAGAGAGATTTAGCTTTTTCCCTCTTCCCCTCGCATCATGCGTCTAGCTTAGCTTAGTATCCTTCCAAACTCTCTCTCTCTCTCTCTCTCTCTCTCTCTCTCTCTCTCTCTCTCTGAAACACACTTTCACGCCCCCATTAAGCATCCCCAAAAGAAAGACACAAAGCCAAAGATCATCCTCGCACCATAGTTTCTCTCTCAAAAGCAGCGAGAGAGAGAGAGAGAGACAGAGAGAGGTTGGCTTTGGTTCTCGAGCCTTGTACTGTACCCACATCCATAAAATCTCACTAAAGATATCGAGGGAAAGAAGCTCTCTCAAACCCCATGATAGGAAACAACACCATCATTTCTAATCCCCCATCAGTCCCTCCTCCTTCTGATCCATTCCCTGATTGCTTAGAGAATAATGGCAACACCACCAACAAGAGAAAAAGAAGACCTGCTGGTACTCCAGGTACACTAATCTTTTATTTCTTCTCTATACTTATTTTTGTATCATATTACATAAGTTTTCTGATGTTGGATTGAATTCTGGGGTTGGATTGAATTCTGATTTGTTATCTTTTTATTACTTGTGTGTGATTCAATCATGAAGATCCAGATGCAGAGGTGGTGTCGCTGTCCCCGAAAACCCTACTGGAGTCGGACCGGTATGTGTGCGAGATCTGCAACCAGGGCTTCCAGAGGGACCAGAACCTGCAGATGCACCGCCGGCGGCACAAGGTGCCATGGAAGCTCCTCAAGCGGGAGACGCCGGCAGTGCGGAAGCGGGTCTTCGTCTGTCCCGAGCCGAGCTGCCTCCACCACGACCCAGGCCACGCCCTCGGCGACCTCGTTGGCATCAAGAAGCACTTCCGCCGGAAGCACAGCAACCACAAGCAGTGGGTGTGTGAGAGGTGCTCGAAGGGATATGCAGTTCAATCAGATTACAAGGCACATCTCAAAACTTGTGGGACTAGAGGGCACTCTTGTGACTGTGGCAGGGTTTTCTCAAGGTTCATTATTAGTAATTTGTCTCTATCTCATTTCATTTGTTCTCTCCTATATCTAGCTTTCATGTTTATGATCTTCACCTTCCATGATAAATTCTCATCAAATAAAGTTTGATAAACAAAAATTCGAAATCTTTTTCGGAAGCGAACTTGTGTCCTCATGAAATCTTGAAGTACTCAGTCTCATAATTAAAGTAGCAATAAATAAATTCAAATTCTGAGGCTTCCTAGCTAAGAGACTGATCACAGAAACAAGCTCTCATAATTAGGCCATGAAAGTGAACAGCTCAAAGGGTTGATGTTTCTTCCTTTTGACATCAAATATTGATAAAATTAATGCAGAAGTATTTTTTTTGTTTTCTTTTTCGGGTTGCTGATAAAATAGCTAGTTCAGATGGCTTTGAAGTCCCAAACTTTTATGATCCGTTTGTACTGAACTTTCCTTTTTCTGGACATTTTTCATGGATATGAGTTTGCAACCCAAAAGGAAAGTTGGGAAGATAGACAGGGAGAGGATATTTAGGCATTGATTGATGGAACCCAAACCTTATATTTGTTAACGTACTGTTTGTGAACAGTTCTGTACTCGGTTTCCAATGACCGGTTTAAGTCACCTGTCTCCCAGATCTTTTCGATTAGTCCAAGATCTTCCAAAAGAAAACTGTTCCTTATTCCTTTGTCAACAATATTTTATCTCCATGGATTTGTTTAGCATTGATTTTCCCATTTGGGTCGTTGTGTGAAGACTCCCACATCTCCCAATGATTAGCCATCACAGCGTTGGACTTCGAGAATAATTAATATCATTTCCTTGTTTACATTCTCCCTCTATTTCAGTAAACAATTAATCTTTGAAAGTATATTGATTCCTTAAGTATGGTATCTATTTGTTTATTAAAAATTCGTTTGTCACTCTCTTGACTATATAAGATGCATGATGATCTCTCCTTCATCTTCTGGGGCTTGTTTCTTATACCCTACATCTGTATGTCATTGACAAAGACACCCAAATTAATAAAGAACTCACAAAAGGAAAAAAACTCTGTTGAATGTTCTTGGCTCCACTTAATGTTCGTCCAAAAGCTTAGCATTGAATAATCTAGGTTTTCCCTTTCTTTTTCGCTCCTTTTGGCCATGCACAACACAGAACTGTTGTTCAAACAATACTTTGACTCATAACACCTTTGGCATGATCTTTGATTCATTCTTTGTGATCAAACAGGGTTGAGAGCTTCATCGAGCATCAGGACTCTTGCAACATGGGTCGTCTAAGATCAGACTCACACAATAATAACCTGCAGCCTCCATGCCTGTCTAGGACAGCCTCAAGCCCAAGCCCTTCAAGTGACACCAATCTCAACACAACTTCTTGGGCAACAACAAGGGCTTTAACAATGCCCAAGCCAACCAAAGACGCAACCATCTTCTCGAACCCTATCGTTAATAAACCATCCTCCAAGAAAGATCATCCTGATGACTTGCACAATCTTGAGCTTCAGCTCTCGACTTCATCGAACCCCGCCGAAACAATTTCCGCCAATCCTTCGAAGAGAGATGAGAAATACCCGCCCCATCTGCAGCTCTCAATGAGTTCCTCATGCACTGATTGTGCTTGTGAAAGAAACGGCGATGGCAGTCGCAATCAATCAACCCATCAGTTGAGGATGGCTGTGGCCGAGAAGGCATATGCGGATGAGGCGAGGCAGGCGGCGAGGCGGCAGATCGAGCTGGCTGAGAGGGAGTTCGCCAACGCGAAGCGGATGAGGCAGCAAGCGCAGGCCGAGCTAGAGAAAGCCCATGCACTGAAGGAACATGCCAGGAAGAAGATGAGCTCTGCGATTCTGCAGATCACATGCCAAGTCTGCAAGCAAAAGCTCCAAGCAAGGGAGTTGCTGAGGCTAGCTCCAGATCATGAGAGCTCTTTGGCGTTGAGTTACATGTCATCTGCAATCACAGAGGGAGAAGTGGATAATGATATCAATAGAGTATGCTAGTGGATAAAAGAAAAGAAGGTTGGTTTATATAGGTCTTTCATAATTTCTGGTTGAGTATATAAGTTCTTTTAGTTTGATTGCATTAGGAGGTGTCTGAGGAGGTATAAGTTATGATTTGATTTTTTTCATGGGAGTGTTTTTGTACTATTAATTTTTTATTTAGTTTCCAATAAAAGTTGTGGTAATGGGTTTCAAGCATTGCTTTTAGTCTTAACGAGTATCCAGACAAAATTCAATTCGGTCAATACTTACAGTAAGTTTATATTTTCAAATATTACGATGACGAATTATGTGCACACATCAAGAAGATCGTAAAAATTAATTTTTATGTTTTCAAGATCACATTAAGGCATTCGTTAGCATAGCAAACGAACAATAACTACCCATATTGGAGTATGTTCGTTCTTATTTAGATAGTATTCCAGAAGAAGATTACAGTATTAGGGTAACTTCGAAATCAGAGCTTGATTTGAGAACTCGTTACGAAACCCTCAACACCTTCTGCTTTAAGACTGAGACCGTGGTTTTTCGGATCCTAGTGTTTAGATTATGTTGAAGAGATGTCTGAACCATGACTCACCCTCGTCTTTCGCCATTATGACCCCACAGTACCACATTTTCACAGTCCAAAACACTTTCATGGTCACATTCATACAGAAACAAAGAAATTGCCTGTTCTAACGGATCAGACCAATCAATGAAATTTAATGTGGACCCACGCGAAATAAACGCACGGCTCGCACGGTTTCTACACGACTCGGATCGGTCTTGCTCGTGACGCCCGTTGACAGAACAAGTCTATACCGTATCTTCATAGAAGAAAAGAAGGACCTCCATGAGCGAATCGTTTTGAATTGAGCTAGATCTCCGTCTCGAGCGAGCTGAGTAATAAGGGTATCGAATGTAGAGAGAAAGAAGGCAAATTTTCACGGCTTTCGGTAGTGCTGTGCTGTGGCGGCAACTGGCGAGAGAGAGAGAGAGTGCATGGTTTTCAGTGCCCAACTGGTGAAATGGCAGAGAGTATTCAAAGTGTGGCAGACTGACCCGTCCCTCTCAACTCAACGTCTCTCAAAAAGAAAACCCAGCACGCGACGACACAAACTCCGGTCATCGCTATCAACACACAATCACATCCACTCATTCTCTCTCGCTCTCTCGCATCAGAATCAGGAGCTGATTCAGAAGTGGCAACAGCATCTTTTCCATTTCCGCACACTCCCATTTAATGCCTTTTTTTCCGTTTGTTTTTCACTTTCTCTTTGACTCACCGAGACATGAACTCCTAATTACTCAATCACCCACTTGGCATGTGTCTTGTTCATGAAAAGTGCCCTCTTGGTCATTGCTTTGCCCCTTTTCCTTTTGGCTATGGGATGTTAGGTACCTACATGCCTTGGAGTATGAAAGAAATAAAGAAGGAGATCAATTTGAATTGGTATTTTTCGAAAATCATATTAGAGATTGAGTGAACTCTAGCTACCTACATTTAGGAGTGAGCATGATTCCATGATATAACCGGTCAAGGTATGCAAAGTATGTTCTAGATTCCAAAAATTAGGAAACCGATTCCGACAAGCAGGTTTCGGGTTCCAGGTACTTGAAACAAAGAACGAGTTTTTGTGTTTTTCTTGTTCTATGTTTTTGTGCAATTCTGCAATATTCCATTACGCCATCCGATGATGAGTATGTAATTTGGAACTACTAGTTTTAGCTTTCATTTCCAGCGATTTCTATGACTGAGACTTTTGTTTTGTTAATATTTCATATTCTTCATTGATCTAAATATGAGTTCTAGTCAGTGGATTATAGCAATAAATGGTGATCATTAGAAGAGATGATTCACTGCAATCGTTCAATTAAAAATACGAGTAGAACTTGGAACCTGTGACAAGGTAAGTTCCAAGTTTCATAATATACAAGGTAAGTTTCGAGTTCCAAAAATTTGGGAACCGATTCCAACGTATACGTTCCAAGTGGAACATGAACCGACCTTAGAACCGCTTACCCCTACCTACATTCATTTGTATCAAGATTCCATAAAATCACCTCTTGTTCACTTCACTGGTTAACATTTACATATCTCAGAGGAATGGAAATGGGATCGAAAGCTCGATATTGGCTCTTCAACTTGGCATTTGACAAGGCGCTTTCGTAGGTTCCAATCCGCTGAAGTGGCCGATCAAATACGCTCCGTGAAGCACTGGGTTCAACTTGGATTGGAGAATTATTTGAATTTCGATTTCACTCTAGTTTAGGATCACACGGTAAAAGAAAGAGAGCATCGAATTCCGCATTGCGTTCATCCCAATATGTTTCAACATATGAACGTACATTTTCACTGATAGTGTTTCATTTTAGCAATGAGGCATATGGTTGAATATTTTCCAACTAATTGCAAAGAACTGTAAAATTAGACTCGATCTTATTTGGAGGTTCAAATTTCTACGTGGTGGTATATTCATGTTTGTGTCAACTCTTAAAAGAGTTTTGAGGATCACTCTCTAATTTGACAATGAACGCCTCTAATATACATGCGCAAAGCAGGCCCATTGTTTATCGATCTTCCGCTCCCGAGTAAGGCAACAAGTGACGGCTTCACATAAAGTCACTTAAAATTCTCTTTTTTTTTCACAATTAATTTCTGAAAATGAGATAGTATTTTTTTTTCCTTGACTGGAAATTCCAAAAAAAAAAAAATTAATTTACGTCTTGATTGGATTAAGGGCCTTGAACCCAAACAGGCAAAAACACAGTCCATATTGGGCTATGACTTTCGGCCCATTTAATGGTAAGAAAAAAGCTGTGATTTTTATGAGGCCCATGTGGGCTTTTTAGCTACTATGATCTTTCTCTGTTTCTTTCCTGAAGGCCCGGTCAGCGAATTGAAAACGATCTGGGCCGTCCGATGTTTGTCCATCTGTCCTATCATCTGGTTCGCAACGTTCGGGCTTGACGGGGTCTTAGACAACGAAAGCCTCGAGTCAACATCGGCCGAATTCCGTTGACCAAAGAGATGTGGGGGAGAACATAGGAAAGAGGTTTACAGAGTTTTCATTTTCTTTTTTATGGGAAAGTGACACAAAACGCATATAAACTTTGACCCAATGTGTAATGTAGTCCCCGAACTTTTAAATTGTTCAATATGATCCCTTAATTGATACATGTTCTGGATTACATGAAAATGTACAATGCTTTCCCTAAGGTTGAATTAATGGAATGACAACATTGAACATTTTCATATAGTTCGGAGACTAAATTGAATAAGTATTAAATGTTTAGGGACCGCATTTGAATAAATTAAAAGTTCCGAGACCACACTGCACATTGGAGTAAAGTTTAAGGATCACATTGAACAAATTAAAAGTTCATAAATCACAATATTGAACATTTTCATATAGTTCGGAGACTAAATTGAACAGATACCAAATGTTTAGGGACCGCATTTGAATAAATTAAAAGTTCCGAGACCACACTGCACATTGGAATAAAGTTCAAGAATCACATTGAACAAATTAAAAAGTTCATAAATCACATTGCGTATTGAGCCAACGTTCAAGCGCCATTGTATCATTATCCCTCTTTTTATTCCTTTATAGGATTTTTGGGCCGACATATTTATTTCGTATCTTTTAGACAGTTACCTCCAGGGCACGTGCTATGTCACGTGAGGCCGAGTGACCCGGAGAGAGAAGTTGTAGGGTTGCACTTAAGCAACAAAGCTGTGGGCTTTTAGCTGAGCTCCAGCCCCACAATCTCCCTTCATCCTCAGCCGGCCCTGTCACCCTTTTTCAATTTCCTTGGATGCGATTATTCCTGCCCCTCTATATTTCTCCAATTATGCTTTGGACAATTCGATTCTAACTTTGATTATGATCAATCTTAAATCAACCCCTTCTTTTTTTTCTTTCCATTTGGGCATCCGAAAAGGAGAAAAACTTATGCGCGGCTCGTTCTATCTCCATCTCATTCGACTTTTCAAGCTTATCGATTCTTCCTCTCCGGCTCCCGATCTTATCGAAATGCTTCGGTATAAGAACGGACGACAGCGGGGACAGAAGACCGAGGCGAGCCCGGAAAAAGTACATCGCCGAGAGATAAAGAAGAAGAAGGAAGAAAAGGATTTAGAAACAATCCATGTAGATCCCAATACTTTGTACCCCAAATAGTGCAAAACTACCACAAATGATTGAGGAGATGCTCCTGAGTGCCTGCTAAAATTGGGCCTGCCCGTCGTGGCTCCTTATGTTCGGCAAGCTTCGCTCATCTTGTCTCCATAAAACATCCAGAAAAGCACAAAAAAAAAAACCGCCACTTCCCCCCCTCAAACGAACATCAATGATGAAAGCTACAATGCAAACGGAAGCTCTTTTGCCCCCCAAGAGAGCTGCTAAAACAAGGAGATTACAAGATCTCACGGAAGACTCCTAAGTCAACATCCCCTGTCTGTCACACACCTCGGACGGTGGAAAAAAAGAAAGAACACATTTTTTTTTCCCTTTTTCCCCACCGAGGAGGAGGAAGCGTTCGCGGATAAGGCCTAATTCCAAAAAAAAAAAATCCTAATTTTATTTCGGGTGACAATTCTAGATCCGTCGAGTGACAATTATAGCCCTAACTCTTTTTTGTCTCATAAAAAATCACTAACTTTCACTTAAATCTCAAATATAGCATCCCTTGATTTAGAACTATTGATTATCCAACTTGACTATTTCACCTTAATAATAAATCCATGTAGCTTGCTGACTGGATTTAAAATATTATTCATCGTCTTCTTCTCTGAGTCGTAGTTTTAAGAATAACAATGAAACTGTACATCTCCTTCACTTCACCGACTAGTCAAAAAGATCTACAGATTGAATATATTTGGTCAGATTATAATTTGAAATTGTAGACAACCTCCCGTTGACAGACAACATGGGCTTGGTGGCTAAAAGGCAGTCCAAACTCACAACCATAACCTTTTTTTCTCAAACAAGGGTGACGTCAGACAGAAAGTCAACGGGAGGCCAGATTTGGAATAAAGGTGAAAGTTGGTGATTTTTTATGAGACAAAAAAAAATTTGGGTCAGAATTGTCACTCGATCAAAAATTAGTATTTTTTTATGGGATAAAAAAAAATTAGGATCAGCATTGTCACTCGACCTAAATTCTACAAAAATTTTTTTTTTTGGAATTAGCCCTCACGGATGAATATGAACAGATATTATTGCGCGTTTGACCGAGCTTGTCTTCTTTCGACTTCGGGTCATATTACACAGCAACACCCACGAAAGGTGGCTCCTTTTTAACAGAAAGCAAAGAACGAGGCGGTGTGCTCAGGAGGGGCGAAAAGCGGCATATGCTGTGTGTTAATGTCAATCTCGGGTGTCGGGCAAGAATATCGATCAAAATTTCATTAAACAAACAGGCCGAAGTCCCATGTTTTCTTACGAGTTTTAGGAGACACCCAGCAGCAGCAGATCTTTTCCCGATTTTTTTCCCGAATATTACTGTCGCAAGGCTATATGGCATAAGATAAGATGGCGTGCGAAACATTCATCGCCGCTTTTCGTACCATTTGGTCTTTCCTCCCTTCTCCTCTTCTTCGTGAATTACAGAACCTAGATCGAAGCGAAAGGAATTAAATAAGCAGAGAGAGAGAGAGAGAGGGGGCTATTGGGGGGAATACTTTTGTTCTTTATTCTTCTTCCTCCGTCTGCTTGGTGAGTCTCCGATTTGAAAATATTTGAAATTGTGGAATTCTTGGTTTCGTTTATTTATTTTCTTGCTTTTATATCTTGGGCCCTTTTTGTTTTTTCAGTATACCTGATGGGAGACTTCGTTTAAGCCGTCGCCTGTTGGGAGATCTGGGCTCAAAATCGTTCCTTTGTCCGTCGTGCGGAGATCTGGAGATCGGCGAATTTGATGTCCTTCAGGATCTCTGACCTTCATCTGGCTCTGTGCTCATCCGGGTATTCTGTAGAATCCTTCCTTTTCAGCTGTGTTGCTTGTTCCTTCGATTCTTTCTCTTGCATCTGCGTGTTTCTTGGTTTTGAGTGGATGGTTTTCCTCTTTCAATCGGTTGATTTAGGCGTGCGTATTTCTTGTTTTTTTTCTGTTTAGGGGGTTTTTAGGAGGCCTGAAATGCCTCGGTTGAATATCCCGAGGAACAAAGTGAAGAAAGTTTGAGTTTTACTTTAGTTTGTCCGGAAAATTCTGCGCTGATGGATGGAGATAACAGCTTGAATATGAGGAACTGGGGTTATTATGAGCCCACGGCGACCATGAGAGGACTCGGCCTTAACCTCATGCCGTCTGTGCCGGAGAAGCCGCTCTTCGACAGTCGGAATGCCGCTGTGATGGCAGCTTCCAACGGAGGTGCATATCATCATAGGGATCTTGGGGCGTCACAGACAATGTACCCGATGGATTACATGAGGGATGCTTGGGGGATTAACCCCAGGGATAAGTTCTACAATGCCATATCGGGGAACCACAACTATTCCATGATACCAGAGACGTCCACAGCTCATCATATGCAGATGGTGCAACCGCCTGACTTATCGAAGGAAGAAAGGGCGACTCAAGTAGAACAGGTAGGTATAGGTAATGAGCTTATGGAAAATGGTCCTTCCAAGAAAAGGCCGGGTCCTAAGGGACCGAAATCTCCGAAACCCAAGAAAGCTAAGAGAGGTCCTCGGGTTCCCAAGGCTGAGACTACTCCTTCTGTTCCGCGAGCACGAACCATCAAGAAAACTACAGAATTAATGATAAATGGGATCAACATGGATATTTCATGTATCCCTATTCCGGTTTGCTCATGTACAGGGACACCTCAGCAGTGTTACCGCTGGGGCTCTGGTGGGTGGCAATCTGCTTGTTGCACTACCGGCTTGTCGATATATCCCTTGCCCATGAGCACCAAAAGGCGCGGAGCAAGGATAGCAGGCAGGAAGATGAGTATAGGAGCATTTAAGAAGGTGTTGGAGAAACTTGCGGCCGAGGGTTATAACTTCACTAACCCCATTGACTTGAGGACTCACTGGGCGAAACATGGTACTAACAAGTTTGTCACCATCAGGTAGAGATGTCCCTTTTGGATGCCACATTTGGCCTCTAGCTAAAATTGGCTTGTTTCTCATGTATATATTTACCAGTGGCCTGAGGCAGAGGCTGAGTGATGGATTGTAGTTCATATTTTCAGTGATCTCAAGTGCTTTTTGAGTATTTCTTTTCCAGCACTCAGATATTTTTTATTGTTTTAAGGGATGTTGTTCGTTTCACTAAACATGATACTAGAATAGTTGAGTTTTCTTCCCTCACTGAGCATATTTCAGGGAAAGCTTTCCCTCTTTTTCTGTATCTCTTAGATTAATATCCACAATTCTCATGGTTCTCTGTTCGTTTTTTCTGGATTGTCGAGTATATCTGGGTGATTCTTGTCAACTCTGCCTCATGGGATAACTTAACATGCATAGCCATTACTGACCCCCCCCTAAAAAAAAAACTCTAACATAGATTCCCTTTTTTCACTATTGATTATTCGTATCTTATTTGGCCTTTTTTGCCTTACAATCTGAAATTTATTCCCCGTTGTGAAAACTGTTTTATCTTGCCTGTAGATAGTATATAATAGTCTACATCATCACCTAGTTACAGATCTCGACTAAGATATGAAAGTCCTCTTTCATTTCTTTGTCAGGCTTTTAGTGCTTCGGTTTTTTATAATTGTCTTGGGACATGGACACAGAACATCATAAAATTGTAACCAATTGATTTGTTTGTGGGAGAACATAAGCCATACTGGCCTTGTCTCCTCGGGTGTTTTCTGTGGTTTAGCATCTCATGCGTAGTAATGTCTATCAGATTTAGAGCCCTAGTAGACAATGCTATGCTATGCAGGAAAGCCCCATTTTACTGTATGTTCGGGGTTTACTTGGATGGGACTGGTCTGGGGCATCTGATAATTACGGTCACATATGATCAAGTATTTTACGAATAGCTGATCCTTGTCCTGCCAGATTGTGTCCTAGTCATGTGGAGTTCCATGTTTTCTAACTGTTAAGACCTAAGAAGCATGTGTTGATTGGAGAATATAAAGATTGCATAGCTGGTTTGTTTTTTCCTATGATCTCTGTGAGGCTCTGCATCTTAAAGCCAGATGTCTCCTGAACTTTTCACGTCTTCTTAGCTGCAGTATTCTGGTCGCCTGATGTGTGCTATCATGCTAGTAATGTTTTGCTGAAGAGACCAGTACAATAACGGCTTTCTAAAATGAAGTACTTCTGATGATTTTCCTCAGTTTAATGCTCTTTTAATAGATTTTATGCTCTAGATATTACCGACCTATGCGACAGTATTGGGTCTGGTGAGTCATACCGCAGCAATGCTTTTTTCTTGCAAAATTTATCTTGCTTAATGTAGGATTGAAGTCTACACGCATGTATGCTCAACCATGTGCATCTGCGAGTGTGCGCGTGTCATTGTTTTTCTTGGTTAGCTGGAAAAACATGCTGCTTTATTTTTCTCATGTTCTCTTGACTGCTTTGAGCATTTCTTGTGAGTTTCAAGTTTATCTTGGGTAAGTGACTTATCTTTAGCTTTTCCTGGCTTCGAGAGTCATGTTTTGCCGCTCTTAACTGCTCGAACCTTACATATCGACTTAAAATTATTTGTTTGAAGATACTCCAGAACCTTGTGGTGTTCATTGTCTGTTGATGCACAACGGCTTAAGCAGGTGATCATATGAAAATCAGATGATGAGACTAGATGTGGAAGGGCAAGTTTTCTTTGTAGCAGTTGACAACTTGTCTTGGGAAGCAACTGCTCTTGTATGGGAAGCGACTTGAAAGAAAATTGTGAGAGTGCAGTGACTGTAGTGTTTCAAGGCCTAGGGGGTGGTCATGCTTGGTAGCAGATTTAGATCTGACTGAAGCCATGTTTTTCGGGGAAGCTGAAACAGGGAAATGAGTAAATTATTGTACATACTTCATGCTATAAGAACACCTAGGTTATCAAGCCTTGTCTCTTTGTTCTGATGGTTTAGATTTTAGGCTCATTATCATACACTTCAGATCTAGGTTCAAATTTTGCATTAGCAATTTCTTCAATTTTTGGAAATGGTTTAAAGTTAAAACTGAGTTAACTGTTTGGAAATTGTTTCGAAATGACTAGACTGCCTGCCTTTATTTTGATTTGCTTGTCAATATGGTTTCTAGTCAGCACTGGATCATACTGTTTCTCACACAAACAATATTTCTCAGTGTTTGACAAATTAAACAAAAGGACATTAAATTGAGAACTTTTCCAATTTTAGGATCCAGTTGAAGTTGAATACGTGCAAACAAATCAAATTCCGTGTCCTTAAATTGAGAAGACTTTTGCAGCACCTGATAGCACTCTATTCGCATTTTTGGTGTCTGTTAAAAGTTGCATGGAAAATTGAGTCCAGAGGAAGTACTGCATATGGAGAGTTTGACGTTTTCAGTTTTCCCTGGGGAGGGAGCACATAATTGTGATGATCTTCAAAGGGTTCGATAGCTGCTTGAGGACTATCTTTTGCAGCCATCGTCCATATATACTTCTCTATTTTTTGTTTATTTACCGGGATTTTACCTTTGATTTGATAGTGTTTAGGACTATACCTTGAGTTTCTAGCACGGCATAATTGTCTAGACACTTCAACCTAACGAGGAACAATTGACTAATCCTTGGTTTGTTTTGATCTAATTATAGCGTTCAGCTGTTCGGAAGTGGCCTAGATTGTTTCTTTAAAATAACGCTTGGGATGCAAAGAAGGATTTTGCTTTTGGAATATCTTGGTGTATGAGGATATCTTTTTTAAGTTTGAAACATTATATATAAAGGTGATAAGAATTATCTCATCAAGAGGAATCGATGCTCTCGAGCAAGACACTTAACGGTCTTCTCATATCTGATTGTCCTTTACTCCTGTGAATAGCATGCCACAAAAACTCAAGACAGGGTCTTGGGATTAAGTTGGTTTTACTTCAATTCCTTCAAACTTGTGTCAATCTGTGCGAAATCATACTTCCTTACTGTCGGTTGTGGCAATTAGTGTTGTTAGGATCCTGATCTGGATCATAGACTCTTATGTTCCTACATTTTGAAACTTAAGAAAGGGTCCTGATCTTAAGTAGGATCTTTACGTGGTCCCGATCCTAAGCCGAGAAAAGCATAGGATTGACATGATCCCATAGATCCCACTGGTCCAATTTCTTTTGTTCCTCGTTAATTCCTGTTAATCAATGGAGTGTTCTCATGTCAGGTTCATGTGGTAGAACGAATTCAAATTGGTGCTGACGTGCTTGTTTCATGCACATCGAGTCTGTTGGCAGTTTTGGAAGTAGTCTGTAACGACTGGACATGTTATTGACTAGAATTTTTCCTCTATAGAGAATGTCAAGGAAAGTTTCTCTTCTACAGAGTGTAAATTTCCATGCTTTCTGAATATATGATTCGGACCTTATGAGGTGAATTAATAATGTGCGTGTATGTTTTGCTCTATGATAAATTTTGCCAGTAGATCTTTTCTGCATTGGTACAGTGGATATTATTTGGGAGCAACTGCTTCTATTCTATCACCAACACAGCCATTGAGCCTTCTACGCGAGGCAAGGGGGAGTGTATTCGCCCGTGATGTGCTGTTTATATTTCCATGAGAATCTTTCTTAGGATGTATAGATCTGTGGTTGCACCTTGCACGTTCTTTTCTGGTACTTGGGAACAAGTTGGTCCTTTGTATTGATTTTGTTATCCAAAATCGTAAGAACTAATTTTTGAAGCAAGAGGTTCTGATTGTTTGGCAGTTCTCTTTAGCGAGCGGCCAAATAATGACTTTTGTGTGCTCTTGTCCTGCTAGTCCATAACAAAGTTGGCCCTTTGTATTGATTTTGTTATCCATTGAATTAAGGAGGGTATTGAATACATGTACTGAAGATCGGTATTTGGTGACGGGTATTGCAGCAATCGTCGTTATGATATTGTGAGTCGGCAAAGTTATTACATACTCACACGAGAATATGGTTTTAAGGCAATTCTACTTGATAGCCAGCCATGTTTAGCCTCTGCAAGAATGCCGAGTTACACTGATGAGATTCAAAGGGTTTTCAAGATTTCTGGGTTTGAGTATATCACGCAAAAGCATATTTACTGATCGTTGATGGTATGTGAAGCAGAAGTAAGTAGCAGTGGGTATTTAGTACTACTTTCTAGCGCAAGATACTATTTCTGATGATTGGTCAGATTGTTGGATGCATCGTGTGAAGCGCGGTTATTCGCTAATACGTGCTCTGTTCTTACTCGAACCGTTCAATTGACGGAATTGGAAGTGGTTCGAAGCGTATCATGGTTGAAGAACATGATGGTTTGTCACGGCCTAGGATGACATATTCGTTTAGATGTGATCAGCTGGACGGATTTTGACCAAGTCCAAGCGAGGAAATAAACACACATTTCAGGGAGAACCATGTTCTCAATATGCCCACAACTTTAATCCATATGAACTAGAAAACTTCGTTTGTCGAAATAAACCCGAACAGCAGATCCGCAGGATCGAAAAATCTTTTGGGATGTCTCTCGTACTCAAACAACGTGCACCTCGGATGGGTTCAGGAACGGTGCGCGTGGTCGAGAAACTATGTGCCTTAATATCAAAGACTAATGCTAGGTCTACTAAGACCGGTACCACATAATTGGTATGTTAAGTTATGCATGGACTCATCGAACAGGTATAAACCCAAACCGCAATTCCACAGGATCGGAAAATCTTTTGGATGTCTCTTGTGCTCAAACAACGTGCACCTCGGATGGGTTCGGGAACGGTGCGCGTGGTCAAGAAACTATGCGCCTTAAAATCAAAGACTAATGCTAGGCCTACTAAGACCTATATTACATAATTAGTATCTTAAGTTACGCGTAAACCTGTCAAATAGGTGGATCGGTTCGGATCTAAAATGGTCCGATCAAAATTGATCTATTTAACCCATTTTGACTTATTTTCATGCAATACAAATGTAGTGACCCAAACCTGACCAAACTCATACTCAAACTAAGGTGAAAATACAGAGTGAGCAAGTGTGAGATTAAGTGAGAGCGAAAAAGAGTGAGGAGAGTCATAGAGGTGGATTGGGTCTAAGTAAATTATAAACCCATTTAACACACATATTAAACCCATTTATAACCCATAAAGTTAGGTCTAAACCATTTATGATCCATTTATTACATAAAAGTATGAGTTAATAAATGGGTATGACCCATTTTGATAGGTTATGTGTCAAATTATAAGTGAGTATTTGAACAA